CCAGAGTTATTAATTTATTAGTTATATTCCACTTTTGTTCAATATAGAATAATTTGTTGCCTATCCATTTTGTTGCTTGTTCAATATAGAATGTTTTATTGCTGCCTGGGGTATTCTGGGAGTTGAAGTCCACATGTCTTAAAGTTGTCAAGGTTGAGAAACAATGCTCTATGTTGTTATTTGTGAAGTAGATTAGGCTAAGAGATACTGACAAATTCACTCTATGAGCTTTATGAATATGCATGGACTTGAACCTGGACCATCCCAGTTTTATTTCAGCACTAACCACCATACAATAGTATGGTGGAATTCTACAGTCTTGCTTCTTCCCTTGACTTTCAGGTTATAAAAACCACTATAAAAATATTTTTTTTCTTTGTTCCCTGGATTTATTTCCACAGGGTCATCCTGATAGGCAAAACATAACCTGCAAGGCACAATTATTTTATTTATTTATTTATTTATTAGATTTATTTATTTATTTATTACATTTATATGATCTCATTCTGAAAAGCAACTCCGGGCAGCATATAACTTAGTTCTACCTCTGTTACCTATCTGTGACACAACTGATGATCTTAACATTTCCTTTTTTGTTGTTTGTGATTGCACACAAGAGAACTAACTCTCAGTTTGATTCTTTGCTTACAATGGACCCTAAACTGCTGACAATGGGAGAAGAAAATATTTTCTAAAACAAGTCAGCAGTTATAATTTAGGAAGCAGAATTGCTGAATAGAAATACATAGACATTTCTCTTCACTGCCCAAGGTCACCCAGATCAGCTGAAATCCTAGGAGGGGGAAACCTATAGTAGAGATCTGATTTCCAGGGCCAAGTAGCATTTCTTTTAAAAGGTTTATAAGTCAATGGAATAAATAAATGACTTGATAAAAAGAACAGTTCCAGAAATAAACTACTAAGGAAACTAGAGATAAAATGAATATCTTTTTTTTAGAACAGAAAAGAATAACAGAGTTGGAAGGACTTTGGAGGTGTTCTAGTCCAACCCCCTGGTCAAGCAGGAACCCTATACCATTTCAGATAAATGGCTATCTAGTCTCTTCTTAGATTAAGGTTGTCAGTTCCAGTAATATTTAGTTTTTTCCTCCGTCTTAAATATTGGACTGCAGAATTAGATTAACGCAGTATTTGCATGTTAGTGTGTTAGCTTTTATATTCTTCTTGATCTAAAAAAAGAAGACTTCACCAATGCATCCTTCCTTACCCTTACTATAAAATTTATATCCAGCACCAGCAGTATTCCATTGATTCTCTCCATTCTATCAGGTTTCTATTATATTATTTATTCCATTTATTTATCAATTCATTAATTGTAATTCTAAGTTTACACACTTGACAAGTGACTCTGGGCAACTTAAACATTAACACACACAACATTCTAGCACGTTCATGTATCTTCCTAACTCAGTACCTGCAGAAAGAGTCAAGTTTTTAAGTCTGCCTAAAAGGCAATAGTGCTGGGACTGTGTGTATTAACGTATTTGTCTGCAACTAAATACACTAATTCTTCCAATTGCTAGTGTTATTTGAGAAACTACTATACCCTACATTATTTTCCAAATGTTGCTGGCATGAGATTGTTTCCTGACCATCTTGTCCAGTAAGTGATCCACTTCAAAAAAACACAGTATACTTTTTCATAGACAATTCAAAAATATAGAACATAACACCAAGGAGAAAGAACTATGTTTATTGCAATGATCATCGAGTGCCTGGTTTATAAGAAACAATGAACAAGGGAAAGCAAAGACTTTTTATAGAAGTTGGGGATTACAAGATAGGAAATTCTAGGCCTCTTTGGGGAAAGCTAGGCAGATCCTTGTTAGTGTACCTTGAGTATTTCAATTGTTGGTAGCCCTTTTAGGAAGGGAGCAGTGCTGGGGAAGCCCTTTGTTAAAGGAGATGGAATGTTGAGGGCCTCAGCTGATGAAAGACAGAACTTTGGGGCTTCTCTAGATTGCAGTTCCTTTGTAAGAGCTGCCCTTGGGCTGTACCCTAATAAACTTCTTTTAAATGATCTTCCGACTTGGTTGCTTATTGGGAAGGTAAACCAAGGCAGAATCTAGAGCCAGATTTGGCTATCAGATGGCACGGGGACTTAATCTAGGGCAGGCTATGTCAGTTTCGGGTGGGATTAAGTGAAGAGAGGAACTGAAATTAACCCTGGTCACATCTAAAAGACAGGCAGGAAAAGGGTTCATCCTCTATTTTATTTGCTACATGCATTTTCTCCATCACATATCTTACACTATTCTCTGAAATATTTGCACCCTTCTGAATTGCATGTGGTCCAGCAAAGACACTCTGCCATTTATAAAGCCTAATTTGATTTCAGTTAAAATGAAAACCCTCTTTCAAGTTGCTGCAAAACATTTTCCAAAGTCTTAATAAATCTAAACTCTTCCACCAATTCCCTAATGCCTCTCTAACTGACCTAGATTTGGAAAAGGAATACAGTAGCCAGTTCTATATTGGCACTCTATGCAATAAACAGGAAAACACCATCTTCTCTGTTGGCGTTCTTAATTAGTTTTTTTTCTTTTTCTTTTTTGCTTTAAGAACTGTTTGACCTTCTATGTAATGCTTCTATAGAGTTTGATGTCCTGATTCCCTCACAGTTGCGAAACATACCTTGACACTTAAGTCTTTTCTGAGTAGGAAGTTAGTAGCAGTCAGAAGTCTCTCCTCATCCTCACTGTAGTCAGGGGTTCCAGATTACTTCTCTTTTCAAAGAATGTTGGCTAGGATCAAGCTGTTGACTAAGAAATGCTACACTATCCACAGCTAATCACCTGATCAATGTCAACTGCTGCCATAAGCCTCTCCCTGTCAGGCCATGAGCTCACAAAGTAAGCAAAGACGTCCTTCACTCAGTCAGATGAAAACCACACAACCTCACCCAGTTAGCCAACAAGATTTCTTAAATGCAGTGTATCAGTGCTACAAACATACCGGCTCCCTCACAAAACTTCCCTGTTCTCATTTGCTCACTCTTAATCCTAAAAGTTGAAGGCACTAATTTTGCACCATAATCCACATTAAAACTTATCTGAATATTTGAACCCCCTCAGGGTATTCTGGAAATTGCATATGGCCAATAGATTTCTCACTCCAAGTTAAGATGTTATGAGAGCTGAACAAATTATGGTTAATTCTGTAAGCATACTAAATAATACATTAATCATATACTGTTATTTCCAATTTTCCACCATTTAGCATCACTGAAAGACTCTAGGAAGCATCTCACCTGGCATAGAGGAGGGTTCAAGCACAGTTAGCCTGGAGTTACTGTGCAACTGCAAAAGCATTACGAATGACCCTAGCTGGGTTCCTTGGAGCCTTATCTAGTTGTTACCAAGGGAAGGCTGCCAGTTTTGGGAGATTCCTATTTTTTTGGCAGAACATAATAAAGTAGTTAGCTTGAACTCTGCATGGGTCTGATTGTTCATGCTTGTCAGTTTCATAGATTAAACAAGGCCATCTGTCTGGAACTCAAAACACATCTTCTCTATAGAAGCACCAGCCCTCTGGAATTAGGCTAAAATCTGAACAGCTCCCATCCTATTGGTATTTTGAAGCACCCTATGGGCCTGGCTCTTTGCTCAAGCCTTTGGCAAAGATGATGGATGCCCCCCTTTCTTCCTTTTTGCTCCCCTCCAATATTTTTTTTGCCATTGTTATTTTATTTTGTGCTGCTTTTGTTTTTTTGAATTTTGTTTAATCTCAAAAATGTTGTAAACTATCCAGAGTCACTAGAAGTATGACAGCACATAAATTTAATAAATAATAAAGACACTATATTTTTTCTCCCTGCCATCCATAATTTTATCCATTATCTATGATGTGCCTCGTTTTTTCTCCCTAAGCCAAGAAAAAGTACTGCTGACTTCTGAACAATTCTTGCTGTTGCTGATTTGATAAGCCATAATTCCTCACCTTTTCTCTATCACCCACTGGGAAGGCGATAATAGTTGATGTACTAATCATTTATTTATTCTCTATAAACATATCTAATTAAATACAGCTTCTATCTTTCAAATTAACCTGGCCTTGCTCATAAGCTCATATATAGAAAAAGCATTTTGTCTGTGAAGCTCACGGCTTTTATTTTCAGCAAGGCTGCTACTGTCAAGACTGCTAACATCGGATGTTCTTGCTTGCCATACGTGAAGAAGCAAATGTGTTTTATTTAGCCTGCATATCACTTCTAGAGTTAAAGCAGACAATACTAGCCTAGTAGATGGGAAAATATGCTAGTTAACCATAACAATATTTTAGCACAGCACTGCCAAGGTCAGCTGTAACAGGAGAAGTAGGGGGGGGGGACAATTCACACTTCACACTAATTGGAGAATGTGATTGATGACTGTAAAATGAAGGAGTGAGTTATGCTGTTACGGGTGATTGGGGGTGGGAGGTTTCAGTTTTTGGCTTCATTAATTGTACGTGCCGAAGCTATGTAGCAAAATAAAGGATTCTTTAAGGTAAATAAGCCTTAAAGTTCTTTGAAAAGCTGCTTCTTTTCGGAACCATGTCACCTACATCATGTCCCATTCCTACGGTATCTCTTCCCAGACCGGACTCACAATGCATACTTGCATTTCCTTTCCATCTCTAAAAGAGAGTTCCAGTGTGAGCTACAGAATAATTTCAATAATGAAGAAAATACTATTTTATAATTCCAGTTAGAATCCTAAGATTTGAGAGGGAATCACGGAGTGCAAGCAGAAAGCAGATACCCCATCTCTAATCATTTTATGCCCGAGGAAAGGGAGGCAGGAAAGAAGCTGGGCTGGGGAGAGAGCGAGTAGCAGTGAAAGAAAAAAAGAAAAAAAAAGCCGTGCGAACAATCCAGTCGCCAAATAATTTCTGAGACCAGGCGCCAAAACAGACAACTGATTTGCGCGCCGACTACAATAGAAGGACCCCGCCTGCCTCTCGCGGCCATTCAGCATCACGCGCCGGCCGTGGAAGAAAGCCCTCACCGTTCTTGTTTTTCCTATCCTACCTTTTTTGGTTCTTTGTTTGCTCATTCTTTTCCTTCTCAGCGAGGGAGTCGCTGCAATGCCGCTTTACGAGGGTCTCGGCAGTGGCGGGGAAAAAACCGCCGTGGTGATCGATCTGGGCGCGGCCTTCACCAAGTAAGATAGTTCCCTTTCCCCCCCTGCCAAATCGCATTAGCCCTGCTTTTTGTGACTGTGCACCTGTTTTCTCTCTCGCCCTCGTATTTTATCTATCAGTTGATTTTATACCGTATTGCTATGCACTGTTTTTGCTCCCATTGCGCGTTGCAATTGTATTCCGCCACCACTATCACTTGGTTTTTTCCCAAGTGGTTTAATGAAAGGAGAGGTTTATTCATCGCGTAACGATCTGGGTTCTTAACTGTGCTTCGTTGAATAAGTGCTGACTGCATTCCCATAATCGTTGACCATGAACTACTTCTTTCTATCCATAATAGGTGTTTTGCATATCTTAGCCCAAAATCTGATGAACCACATCATGCTGCAATGCAAGAACCTAGCTTGAGAGTTCACGTCTAAGACTAGCTGGGGCTGCCTTTGTACAATGTGTTTATAGTTAATTGAGCCATAACTTATTGAATTAATTTAACTGCTGAATTTTCAAAACCACAGCTATAAGTCTTCACAGTTGGGTGCTTTAAGTTGCATCACCCTGAGTCACAAGCTAACTGATCACCATATTTAGTCTGGGGGCAAACCCAGGCACAGAATTCTAGTGTTGAAATTTGTACTTATTGATTGACCAGGGAGGAATCTGACCTGATTTTGCTCAGAAATATTCCAAATTGAGATACATTGCTTATGCTACTTATGTAGTAGTGTGGTGCTCTCTGAACTTGGTTTTCTTCCAGATGTTTTATTATTAATCAAGGTAACATCAATGCGTAATCTAGATAATATCATCAATGCACTTACATAGTAGTACACTATAAAATGCACACTATTATAGAAGAGAAGGGAGAGAAAAAAAAGAATTGAATTCCTGAACAAGTTGTATGTAAAGAATCAGGCTTTAAAATTCTAGTTGTAGTGTCATGTAAAACAGTCATATTGTGATTGAATTGCATAAATTATGGTTTGTGGGAAAATGTAGTATTGCACATTCGTATAATTTGAAGATATAAATCTTGGCTTAAAATGACTGGAGTTACATATCACATTAATAGGATTGGTTTCGGTTTAATATGAAATGTAAACCCAGCCACTTACCATGGTAGCAAGACACTTAAGCCCTAGCTTTATAGTGCATCTTACCATATTAATCAGTGTTTCTGATTATCACTTGTTCAGAACTTGAAATTACAGCTAATTTTAATTAATTTAAAATTAATTTAATTAATCCTAATATTCTACTATTACATATTTAAGGGAAGAGAATGATAACATTTTAAATTTAAAATATTATAGTAATGGTTTAGAAAAAAAACCTCTCTGCTAAAGATTTAAAAGTTTCTGTCTTTAAAAATAGACAAAACTAGTAAAAGAATAGATGAGGTTAACTCAACACAATTTAACATGACCAATTAACGTACTCTAATAGATTAATGGACTCTGTGTGCTTCATGCTTTAAGATTCCAGCTAGCCATTATTACCTGCAAAAGATAGATTCTTAGATTTATCCTTAGAAGAACCATGAATCAGGAGCAGGATCGAGAATGACATGAAGCACACAGAGTCCATTAATTTATTAGAGTACGTTAACTGGTCATGTTAAATTGTGTTGAATTAACCTCATCTATTCTTTTACTAGTTTTGTCTATTTTTAAAGACAGAAACTTTTAAATCTTTAGCAGAGATTTTTTTTTCTAAACCATTACTATAATGATACTTTAAATTTAAAATGTTATCATTCTCTTCCCTTAAATATGTAATTGTAGAATATGTACTATACCATAAAATAACAAGGGGGAAATGTCCCAAATGCTCCTAGATATATAGAAGTCCTTAGGTCGTTTTTAATATTACTTTGGATTCAGAAAATTTTAGTATTAGTTTGCTTCTGGCACTATGCAGCTAAATTGGTTCTTAGTAGGATTACCAGATTGGTACTGCCATTTGGTTGTTTTGAATGTGTATGTATTGTAGTATTTTTAATTTTCCAGATGTGGCTTTGCAGGAGAAACAGGTCCCAGATGTGTCATACCTAGTGAAATAAAGAAACCTGGTGTTTCAAAGGTAATCTTTTAAGAAAATATAATATAGTTGTGTGGATATCAGAACAAATGGTGGAAATTGCCAATTGCAATCAGTAAATATTCTAATTTAACTATGCTTTAACTAGCAAATCTGGAGAATGTAGCTAACAGATTAGAAGAGTTCTGTCTACCTACCAATATCACAGAAAGGAGACTCGACAAGTTATTATACAGTATATAGTATTTAATTTTACTTGCTAGCAAAATAATGCTTAGGATCAGATTAAATTAGAGCCCAATATGGAAAGAGAGTTCCTAGATTTTCAAAATGGCTTTAGAAAAGGCTGAGGAACAAGAGATATGATACACCCTTAGTAATTGATGTGGTAGAGGAGCAACAAGTGTACTTACCAAAAGAATTGGAGAGGATCCAAATAATTGTGTAAGTGTAATCTTTACTGATGCATAAATCACTGAACCCTAAGCTTTGGGAGCTAAGAAATGTTTCAAGAGCATATAAGTTCCAAATACTTAAATGTTGATTTATGAGCAATATAGTTCAGAAAAAAATTATAGGTAGTTATTTTGCAAGAAAGGTAAATTAGGGGAGACCTCTGTATTTTTAATGACTAAACAGTATAAAAAATGTGATCACCTTTCTTTTTTGTTACAGTAGGAGTTTTTGTGCTAATACTTTGCTAGGAGTCTTGTCCTTGAAGTATCAGGTCTCTTTGGTAACTTGATATTTCCTCCTAGGTCAAAAGGGGCACTCTTGTCCTGTTTACCACTATTTATAGTACTCTATTTGTAGCTGCTTTGAAACTAAAAAATTCTAAGAAAGCAAGTTTTCATTTATGTTCAAAGGTTTTCTTTAAGGTTACATTTTATTGCAAATGGAACTTTTTTAAACATTAGAAATGTCTTTCACATTGGAAAAAACAAAATTGAAATGTCAATATGTGGTTTATTTTATTGTTTTGACCACATCAAGCTATGGAATGTTCTTAGGAAAATAGGAATATCAGAATATCTCATTGCCCTTATATGAAAATTATATTCAGATCAAGAAGCCACAGTCTGGACAAAACATGGCAAAACAGGCTGGCTCCATATGAGCAAAGGATACAAAGCTGATCATTTAAGGTTGGGTATTCTTCCCTTATATGTTGAGTATATATTGAGGGAAGCTAGAGTGAAAGAAGATGGGAATCATTTTAAAAGTTGGAGGAGGAAGCATCAATATCCTCTGTTGTGCCATTGGTATTATTCTCTTTAAAATATTATAAGGTTTCAATTTTTAATGTTTTTACCAAAAATTTAATAAAATATATTTAAGCCATGTAGGCCTTACAAGCAACTTTCTTGGTTGTAGAGTGACAATCATAATATTACACAGCGTCCTGTCTAAAATGTGATAGTTATAGAAGTAATGTTATAGTTATACAATGAAGGTACAGCCCAAGATAAAGAATCCTTATTGGCTGTATTGGCATTGGATTATTAATATCTGAGACTGTCAGGCACAAACAAACAGATCCACCTATGTGGAGTTTAAGCTAACTATTATATTCTGCCTATAATACAGGAATCTCCCCAGACTGCTTGCCTTCCCTTGGGAACAGATAGATAAAGTTCCATGGAGTTTAGGGAGTTCTGGATCTCCAGCAGCTGCATAACAATTCAAGGGCTAATTCCCCACTTGAGCCCCCCCCTCCCTGCCTGGCTGGGCATTTCCCAACAAGGACTTATTCAAAGAGAAGATCATAACATTCATAAATCTACAGTTACTTAAATGAATTATATGTGTATACAGTAATTAAGAAATATTAAACAGATTTAAAAATACTTAAAACTATTTAGTTTTTTTTAATTCACAGCCTATCAGAGTTGTTCAATATAACATCAATACGGAAGAATTGTATTCGTACCTGAAGGAATTCATTCACATGCTTTATTTCAGGTAGGAGATGCTGCAGTAAATATTTTTGTGATGGATTATTATTTTGGAAATGATTGCTTAGATATTGGATTAAGTACGATATCATTATGGCTGTATTATGCATTACAAAGCTTCCATTTCCTATCCTAGAATTTGATATTATAGCAAAATCTATAGTGTTTACATTGGACTTTTTGATATCTAATAAGCCAAAACTTGCTCACCTTTTTAAAGAGCAAGCAAATCAATATTTATTATAATCATCTTGGCTTGCAATACTCTGATGTGACACCTTGAAACCCAGGCATCACTACTAGATTCAAGCGGTCATTATTTTATTTGCAAATAAACTAGCTTGATTGTGAGTCCAGCTTATGACTTACTTAACAAATTGGCTAAGTATAATTAGTGACCCCAAGTTCACTGTTATGGATTATAGGTCCCAGTCATAATATTATTTTTTCAAGACTTTTTCAAAATTATCATCTATCAATTGATCAATCTGACTTAAAACAAGACAGAATGCCTTTCTCTTATAAAATAGTCATAAAAAGAGATAAGATGTGGTTTGCAATATAATTAAAAATGTGAATGTCATTTCACAATATAAATTCTTACATTTATACAAGCATCAAGCACAGATTTTCCTAGGATTGCATAACTGATTTCTAGCCAAGGTAAAGCTTTTTTAAGGAATTGTTGACATATGCTTGCTCTGAATCATGTTTTTTTCCTTCAAATCTGGATTTCTCCTCAGCACTATAAAAATGAATATAGGCAAATATAACTGAAATTCAGCATTAATCTCAATATACATGCTTCTCTGAAGCTCAGGCATGTGTTAATTACCTCATTATAGAGTACCTAGGAGTCTGAGGGCCACTCAAAATGGAAGGACAGTATATTTCCTTTCAACTAAATTTCTGACCTGGGAGTCAATATTCCAATATCTGGTAGTGCTCTTTTTTTTGTTTTGGTTCCCATCCATTGAAAAGTTAAGCCTCATTGTACTTAGGTAATTTATTCCATTGTAATTTATTCATTTATAGACCACTCCTGTCACAAACTACTGAGGCAATTTACAATAATCATTAATAAAAAGCAATAGACAATAATCCAGCCCAAACTAAGCAATTCTACCTAGGACCGCAATCTGCTTGAAAACTGCACAACTAATACAGTACATTTGTACACAAAGGCACGGAAGAAGAAGTAATTTTATTCAGCTTTCTGAACGGACTCATTCATTTTTCAGGCATTTGCTGGTGAACCCTCGAGATCGCCGGGTTGTGATCGTGGAATCTGTATTGTGCCCTTCTCACTTCAGAGAGACGCTCACAAAAGTTCTATTCAAGTATTTTGAGGTACAGTAATGCATTCCTTATTGCTTGCTGTAGCCGACAGTTTTAACAGTTGTCAGATTTTCTTTATTCGCCTGTAATTAAAGCAACCGTGACCTAGATTTTAATAACTTCGCCAGTCACTGTCATTAAATTCTGGATCTGGATCTGTTGAAAGTAGTCCTCAACATAGGATCAAATGGTGGTTGACGTTCCAGATGTCCCAGAATGCCCCCTGGTCACATGATTGCAATCTGGGTGCTTGGCAACTGGCTTGCACTAATGACCCATTGCAGTGCCATGACATCACATCTGCCGCCTTCCCTGCCTGCTTCCCAGGACACCCAGTGAGGAAGTTGGCAGGGAAGACCACAGGTTGCTGGAGTAAGTCTTTCCCACCCATGCACTATCTCCCAGCTCCTCTGTGCTTGCGCCAACCTCTCGTGCACTCTCCCCAATCCTTGCCATGCCTTCCTTGTACATCCCTGCCCCAATTCTCACTGTGTCTCCCTCATGAGCTTTCCCTGTGCCTTGCTGCACTTCCCTCACACTGCCCTGTGCATCCTCCCCACCACGCCTCCCTCAAGCACTGTCCTCGAGCCTTGCTGTGCCACCCTTGCATATGCCTGCGCACCCTCTCCTAGCCTTTCCGTACCACCTTTGTGCATCCCCCTCAGGCCCTCCCCTACCCATCAGGCACCACTTACTTGCCTGATGGCCTGCTTGCAAGCCACCTGGGACTTGTACCCTCCCCAAACCTTGCCAGCCCTGCTGGCTTCCCCACTGACTTGGTTGTGGGACGTCAGTAGGAAGTTGCTTCATCAACAGCCATGAGATTTAATTAATGGGGACAGGATTGCAGGGATTGCTGTTGCTAATCGATGCAGTCACGGTTTATGACCACATTGCTTAATGACTGAAATTCTGGTTCCAATTGCTGCTGTAAGTTGAGGACTATCTATGGCAGGGCTTTTCAACCTTTTCACCCATTGTACCACTTTTAGGATATGCCAATATCCAAGTACCACCAGTCGCCTAGCAAGGTGTCAAAAACTTGATGACCCCCCCCAAAAGGAAAAAAGTGATAAAGTACAGGTAGTCCTCGACTTACAACAGTTCACTTAGTGACTGTTCGAAGTTACAATGGCACTGAAAAAAGTGCCCCCCAAGCCACAGCCGAGCAAGACACCTGCCTGCCCGCCCAGCGACGCTCTTCCTCCTGTCCGAGGTTTTCTTTGTTGTGAGCATTTCTGTTGAGGATTGGCAGCGGGGGTGGGGTGGGGGGTGTTTGGTTTTTATTCCCCCTCCGTCTGCTGGGTGGTTACAGCAGGTTTTGGTCACATGACCCTGGGACACTGTGACCGTCATAAATATGAATCAGTTGCCAAGCATCTGAATGTGAATCACAAGACCCTGGAGATGCTGCAACATTCCAGCTGATCGGCGCTTCTTCTGGGCTCAGCAGAAGCACCAGAATCAGTGCTGCTTTCCAGCTGATTGGTGCTTCTTCAGGGCTCAACAGAAGCACCAGGATCAGTGCCGAGCTCCAGCTGGAGCCTGGCGCTGATCCTGGCACTTCCACTGAGCCCTGAGAGCCCTGCAGCTCCAGCCATCTCTCGCTCAGGCTTGTGCGGTGTGCCGTCACTTCAGATCATTCCCCTCCCCCGCTACACTTTTCTAGGATGGTTGCGTACCACCTGCCAGGTGCCAATGTACCACAGGTGGTACCCGTACCACTGGTTGAAAAGCCCTGATCTATGGCATACTTTCCTTTAATGGAAACATTCAGTTACAAAGTACATAAACTTGTATCAGGGATGTTTTAATTTAGACTTTGTCCTATCCCAGGCCAGACACACATTCACACACCCACACATACATACATACATACACAAAGGAGTTAAGCTGCAAAAGGCTTTCCTATGGTTTATGCAGCTACAAACAAGAGCAGGCAAGGCGTGCATGTAGTCACACACACAGTTTTGAGTAGTCCCAAATCCCTTGGAAGCTTGCCTGGAAGGAGTTTCAAGTAGTCAAAATCCAAAGTAACAGGCTGAAGCATTGTTGGAACACAGCGCAAAGGTCTCAGCATGGTGGGTAAGTCATCAGCTTGTCCAAGTTCAAAGGAACAGACTTTCCATAGGCAGAAGTTCAGGATGTATTGACTGTGGGATTTCTGTATACAGATGATAATAGCAGAGTTTCCAAATTATCACAGACGCCCTGCAGAATATTAAAAATTGCACTTCTGTGTTCTTTCTAGGTTCCTTCAGTGTTATTTGCGCCAAGTCATCTGATGTCTCTTCTAACACTTGGAATTAATTCTGCAATGGTTTTGGACTGTGGTTATACAGAAAGCCTGGTGTTACCTGTATCTTTTTAAAATCTCTTTTAATCCTATCAGTAGAGGAAGCAAGTACCCTAATTACGACAAAATGGACTCCCCAGAATTAACTAAGTTGACTTCTGGGCAAAAAGATTTTGCTTCTCAAATATCCTACTTTAATTAAGCCAATTGTGTCAATTTACACTTTAAACTAAAAATATTCCCAGGACATTCTGCAGTATAAAAGGAAAATAAAATGTATAGGTAGTGCTCAATATACAACCACAATTGACACCCAACTTTCTTTTGCTAAGCAAAGCAGCTGCTAGGTGAGTCGTGTCCCCCTTTACATTTTTTGTTTTGGTTGTTAAGCAAACATTACAGTTAAGTGACTCATGCAGTCATCAAGAAAATCTGACTTCCTCCATTGGCTTCGTTTGTCAGAAGCTGCGTAGGAAGATTGCAAGACCCCAGGACACAGCAACCGTCATAAATATATGCTGGTTAATGAGCGCCCAAAATTTGATCACATAACTGTAGGGATGCTGCAAGAGTCATAAGAGTTGAGAATTGGCCATATGTCGTTTTTTTTCAGTACAACTGTAACTTTAAACTGTCATCAAATGAATGGTTGTAAGTTGAGGACTACTCATAATGGTAATAAAATAACGGTAAAGGCAACAAAACACAGATAGTCCTCGACTTACAACGATTCCTTTAGTGACTGTCAATGTTACCACAGCACTGAAAAAAATTACTTATGGCTGTTTATCACATACACAACCATTGCAGCATCCCCAGGTCAGGTGATCAAAATTTGGATGCTTGGCAATTCATACTTATGATTGTTGCAATGTCCCGGGGTCGTCATCAGTGGGGAAGCCAGAGTCACTCTGTTACTAATTTAACAACTGCAGTGATTCATTTAACAATGGTGGCAAGAAAGGTCATAAAATGTGGCAAAATTCACTTAACAACTGCTTCGCTTAACAACACATTTGGGGCTCAGTTGTGGTCGTAAATTGAGGACTGACTGTAAATGAAGCAGAAATAATTGGGGAGATTGAATGTTGGAAAAACAAAGTTGGTACTGAGAAAGATGTAGGGTTAATGTCCCTGTCTTGAGGAGTGTTCCACAAGCTGCCTGGTTTGAGTTGTTCAGAGAAAGCCAACAAGGTTTTATTACCATTTTCAGAGATCCCATCATTTTTCCATTGTCTCCTATCCAAGCAGTGAAAAGATCCAGGTTTTTTTTAGCTTCCACAAATTGGTTGCTTGATGTATCTTCAAGTTATGCCTAAGATTTCATTCATGAAGCATGAGATAAAAATCAGCTTTATTTCAGCTCAGTGAAAATTGCAAGGGCTTTGGGGATTTGATGCATTTGAAGCCAGTGCTACCTATTTATAAATAAAAAACTTGCATGCAAAATTTCTTCATGTTAAGTATTAAGTAATTCTTATTGCAGAAAAAGCATACATATCTTCAAGGTCATTTAAAATTATGAAATTAAAATTAGTAACAGGTGTTTTTAAAAAAAACAACAAAAAAAACACATATTCAGAACAAAAACGTAATTGTTGTTCCAAAATTGTGGTTATCATTATCCTTTAATTTTTATCTTAGCAACCCAGGGTTGCTATTACAAGATGGTTGGCCACATAAATTAACTGTAAAACACCGAAATTAAAAATGATTTTTCTCTTCTAGTAATATTGTCATCTGCAATTGTACATTTGTGTTTGGTGCTCGTATTTCATCTTTTGAATAAGAACTGCTGTAAAACAAAACATCCTTAACTGTTTGAAGATTTATGAAGGAATTCCTGTACTTAGTTGCTGGGATGCTCTTCCTTTGGGAGGAAAAGCCATTCACAAGTAAGCTGATAGCAAATATTAAGGCATTTATGAAACGGAGACCACTTTGGCAGTGTTTCTCAACCTCAACAAATTTAAGATGTGTGGACTTCAACTCCCAAAAGTCTGGACTTTAGAATTAAGAAATATCTTAAAGCTACTGAGGTTGAGAAACACTGGTTTAGAGTAATATGATTTTGCTAGGTGGGAACTAGGATGGACTGGGTTTTTGTCAGTCCTACAAGCCAGTGTTCGGAAGAGAAGCAGATAATGTCCATTTTGAGACCTTTTGGATTTCACCTTTAATCAGCCCTGGTTACATGGGTAGCGGGAAGGGAATTATGATAATTGTAGTCCATGACGTTGGGTGGATACTTAGTAGCTTACCTTTGTTTGTAGCCATCATTACTGGAGAGGATTAAAAAAGGTAAAAAGAAAGGCTTTATGCTTTTTCATAAAGCAAATAGTTTATGCGATTTACTTTTAGAAGATTTAATAAATGTAAACAGCATGTAGAAGATGATCAAGCTAATACAAGGAGGATGCCATTAATGACTATTGATCACCATAGTTCTTTGTTATTCTTCGGTATAAATGGCCAGACGTAGCACTTTCACTACCATTGGCAGTGTTAAGAGGGCTGAAAATATTGTATCCCAACTGTGTCTTTTCCAAAATGTTTCCTATAATGTATGTTAACCGTAACATCTGATGAGGTCACAAGGCTGAAAATAGTCTGTTGTACAAATGCATCATGTGGGATAGATGGATGGATGCCAGAGAATCAATGACAGATATTTCCTAAACATCTCCTATTCTCCTTAATATTCTCTAGAGAACTGGAGTACCAATTGCTGGAGCAAAGTACAGTAGATACAGGAGCCACCAAAGGACAAAGCCTTACCTCAGTGATGGGTAAGATGGGAGAGGGAGACTTCTTTTCATCTCACAGTGGTCCTAGGGAAGGATAGGTGATGGATGAATGGATGGATGGACGGACGGGCGGACGGACGGACGGACGGACGGACGGACGGACGGACGGACGGACAGACAGACAGACAGACAGACAGATAGACGAATCTTGTCCTAAGAAGCAGTAATTTCAATGCTGAATCCCCTTATTTCTAATAATATTTGTTAATTTAATTTAATAATAATTTAATAATTTAATTTATATACCGCCCTTCTCCCGTAGGACTCAGGGCGGTGCACAGCATATTAAAACAGATACAAACAAAATACATCAAAAAACAAAAAAACCCCATAAAACCAAATTAAAAGCCAAATATTGGAAGCTGTGTGTCAATTAAAATTTTCTTAAAATCATCCCTACCTAAAATCCTCCCTNCTGTGGGAGCGTACCGGTCTATGGGAGGGAATCTGTGGCAGAAGGCGGTCTCGGAGGTAGCCAGGTCCAATGCCATGGAGCGCTTTAAAGGTGGTAACTAACACCTTAAAGCGCACCCGGAAGACCACTGGTAACCAGTGCAGCTCGCGCAGCAGCGGTGTCACATGGGAGCGACGAGTCCCTCCCCACACCGCCCGCGGAAAGTTTCATTATGCTTGATCTTAGTGTACTCCATTCTAAACCCGTAAAGATCTTGGTTGCAATCCCTAACCTTATCATTGAACTATTAGACCTATCAATGTGGGTGTTTAATTCATGATGAAGCAGAGTTTTCTAGCTAATTTGCACTTAATTGTCTGCATGGTCTGTATTTGAATTTTGTGTCCTCTGTACGTGTTAATTCCAGATGTATTGCATTCCTGCTGTTTTAGGTTCTGTTCCAGAAGACATTGTAGAAGACATAAAGGGTAAAATAATGTTTCTTTATACAAATTTTAGTTTAGTTTTTGTCCAGAAATCTTTAAATGCATGGAAATAGACTTTCACAAAATAGTGGGATTTCTTTAAATCTGCTTCTTCCATAAATATATCTGAACAGCAGCAGCTAATTGCAGACTCAGACATTTTGAGGTGCAATTGTCCTTACCATCTTGCAAACCAGCTGCTTCGTGTTATATTCTTATTTATAGTGCCTAATATACAATCTGCCAGCTATATCCATTTCCCCAAAATTTTCTTCCAAACCTTGCTAGCATGATATGCATTTCAGTAGCAGGCTTATCAGTCTTTGCAAAGGGGAAGGATTCAAAAAAGTAGACGATATCAGTAGAAAAGTGTTTCTCTTGCAGAAATCTCACAAGGGGCTTAGAAATAATCAAGGACAATAATCTAAAGACTGTTTTTAATATCTCTCTGAAGTTCGCACTTGTTTTGTGAGTGACCTCCAGCGGGGACTGAAAATTCAGGCAGCAAAGTTTGATATGGATGGTAGCGCTGAGGTATGTTGAAAATAAACAGAAGTTTCAATTCAGTAGAACAAATTTAATTATTTAAACTTCAACGTTTCACTTTCTGAGTGTGTAATAATTCTTTGTAGCGTCCAACACATTCTTTGTACACATTCTTTGTAGCGTCCAACTCCACCGCCAGATGTAGACTATCCACTGGATGGAGAGAAGATTTTGCATATCAATGGAGTAATCAGGTGAGCAATACAGTCACTTTTTTTGCATTATTTTTGCAGTGGACAATTACCTTTTTAATCTCTTTCACGGGATTTTATTTTCTAGGCAAGAGCAGAATGTAAGATATCCAAGCTATTCTTATTTAGAATGCGTAAAGTGTTGTCCTAGGGGAGAAGGTTGGTGAAAGGATTAAATATCTGGCTCTAAATCTACACTACTGTCGAGATATATTTCATCGAGCCATACCAACCTTTGAATGGGATTTGGGAACCGCACTGCAAACAAGTGGGACCACATCAACAAGTTTAAAAAGTAGTGATAATATAAAAGTTAAGTAAATTTTATCACCCCAAAGAGTGTTGCTACTTGGGTTAGAAGGCAAGTAGAGAAATCAAGACGCTTGAGTAGAAAAATAAAATTCATGCATATGGCAACAGGAATATAAGAGACAGCTGTCAAGGTTCCGATAGACAAGGCCAAATAAATCAGAACTCCGAGGCTTGAGACTTCCTCAAAGAACATGTTTATTGGTTACATAGTATCGGCACAGTCAAAAGTGAAACCAAAGAGAGACAATATTACAAACTTCCCACCCCAATGCTATGCAAACAGTTTGGTGAGCTTTCTAACCAGATGCTCACACACACCCATCTAACTGATAGAAATTACCTTGGTTCCCACGGGACAGTAAAAATGTTCAGACTAATAAAAAAAAGATGTTGAGACTTTAGAAAGAGTGCAGAGAAGAGCAACAAAGATGATTAGGGGACTGGAAGCTAAAACATATGAAGAGCGGTTGCTGGAATTGGGTATGTCTAGTTTAATGAAGAAAAGGACGAGGGGGGACATGATAGCAGTGTTCCAATATCTCAGGGGCTGCCACAAAGAAGAGGGAGTCAGGCTATTCTCCAAAGCCCCTGAAGGCAGGACAAGAAGCAATGGATGGAAACTGATCAAGGAGAGAAGCAACCTAGAACTAAGGAGAAACTTCCTGATAGTTAGAATAATTAACCAGTGGAACAACCTGCCTCCAGAAGCGGTGAATGCTCCAACACTGGAAGTTTTTAAGAAGAGACTGGACAGCCATTTGTATGAAATGGTATAGGGCAGGGGTAGGCAACCTTGGCTCTTTTATGACTTGTGGACTTCAATTCCCATGCTGGCTCAGGAATTCTTGGAGTTGAAGTCCACGAGTCATAAAAGAGCCAAGGTTGCCTACCCCTGGTATAGGGTTTCCTGCCTGAGCAGGGGGTTACACTAGAAGACCTCCAAGGTCCCTTCCAACATTATTACTATTACTACTACTACTACTACTACTACTACTACTATTATTATTATTAAAATTTTCTGCACCCCCTCCTATACTTGTGGCAACCTAGAACGAGCAAAATGGCTGCAGCCAGGTTTGTTGTAGACTTGACAACAGCACTAAATCAGAGGGGGTAGGGAAGTGAGAAAAGATAGGGCAAGTAGATTTGGGCCACCAAACCTGGTAGCAGAATGGGGAGTGGGCTTGATGTAGGCTATGTCTGAAGCCATGATAGATTGCATACAGCCCGACAAAGGATTATGTACTTTTGTCTAAAGTCAGTACAATCCTTTTCAAATAAGTTAGGTAACCAGGACAGAATGGGTAATATCCTCTGGATTCCTGAACACACTCAGGCCTCATTCCCTGCATATGAACATTGTAAATCACTCAGAATTGCCTCACAGAGACATGGGTGGCAAACAAATTTAATAAATAAATATAATCAATAAAATATATGACTCAAGGTTTCCTGTTTTTTTTTTCTTTCTCACAGAGATTCTGTTGTCGAAGTACTCTTTGTCCAGGACAATGAAGAGAAATCCGTGGCTACTTTAATACTGGACTCTCTTATGGAGGTAGCACAAGTTGGATACGGTTGTCTATTTGCGTGTGTGTTATACATCAAGCTCTGTTAGCAACAGATTTTTTTACCAATACCCTAATATTTAAAGGATAGTGATGACACAGAGGAATCAAGGCAGTGGTGGGATTCAGATATGTGAACAACCGGTTCTCTGTTGATGCCACTTCTGGAAGTCCATTCTGGGCCTGGGCAACAAAAAATTACCTACCGGTTCTGCCGAAGTTGTGCAAACCGGCTGAATCCCACCGCTGAATCAAGGCCCTGGAAGCTTTTATGCTTCTTTATCATATACAGTAAAACTATTTACAATAGAAATTTACAAAAAGATCCCAGCTTCTGCTAGGTGTCAGGTGTCCTCTTAAGTCTCTCTCCTAGAGGTTATTCCCCTCTAACTCTCCTCCTTAAATGCTTAATTTCCTTCCCTTTACTCTGTCTCCCTCCTGTTTCTGGGAATATCAAAAGAGATAATCTTTCTCCAAAGATGGCTGTCTTCCTCCTTCCCATCATGGGTCTTGCATCTCTCAGGGTCTTTGCTTTTCGTTTTCCACCAACTTTTCTTCTCCCTCTACGATCTCTGGAACTAATAACTGTTCTATAACAACAACAACAACTTTATTGTCACTTTGAATGTACACCAATCAGCATATATCAAAATGAAATTTCATTTCATACAGCTCTCAAAGGGCCACCCCCTCCAATATACACTCCTTGTTTGTGGCCAGCTCAAGTTTCAGATCGTCCATTTTAGTCTCTCGGGAGCGAACGATGGCAAACAGGACAGATGGAAACGGAGCTCCATGTGGATTAGCCCTCAAATTAGCTTGTATTCCTGCACGACAACCTTGCTTCCATACTCACATGAACTTTACTTTTCAGCCACTCCATACTACAACAGTCTTTGTAGTTGTTCTCACCTCTCCTTCTCTGTCTCTCTCCAATTTTGGGTTACAATGGCATGAAGTTCTCCAACAACTGAGGAAATGGGTTCCCCACCTCCCCAGGACTGTAGTCCCCAACGCCTGTGTACAAAACTGGACCAATGGAAATGCTGCCTCTCTGTGCCCACAACAGCCCTGGCTAGCAGCCAGGTCAACACATTAGTCTTCATGCTTCATGACAGTCAGTACCCCTGCATTTCAATGGTACAATCAGCTTCCTCTCCCCTTTTTGCCTCTTGCTGAATCGCAACAGCACAACAGCAGCTAAACCATGCCATATGCTATAGCGGGGGTCTTCAAACTTGGCCCTTTTATGACTTGTGGACTTCAACTCCCAGAATTCCTCAGCCAGGCACGCTGGCTGAGGAATTCTGGGAGTTGAAGTCCACAAGTCATAAAAGGGCCAAGTTTGAAGACGCCTGTGCTATAGACTGATTTAATACAGAAAGTATCAGCTTTGTTAGACAAAGGCAATCTCATGAGAAAATGGGCAGTTTAAAGTAGGAAGTCAAGTACAGATGTTTTGTTTCAAACCACCTGTTTTCCCAATTTGCTATATATTTGATCATGCCTTAATTAGTAGCCTAATTGAAATGTTTTCTCTTTTTCTTCTCCCCTATCAGTGCCCAATAGATACTAGGAAGCAACTGGCTGAGAACTTGATGGTAATTGGGGGTACAGCTATGTTACCAGGATTCCTGCACAGATTAATGGCCGAAATACGATACCTGGTAGAAAAGCCCAAGTACAAGGAGATCCTGGCCTCAAAGAACTTCCGGGTGCACATGCCACCAGCCAAGTCGAACTGTGTGGCCTGGTTAGGAGGTTAGTCTGAAAGAGCTGGGAACTGGGGTAGAGATTATGTGGACCTGCACACAGAATACAGCTTTCGCAACGCCACTCCTAGTAGAGACTGGAAAGTTTGGGTACAGAGGTTCTGATGCACAATTTATTTTATAAATTTTAGTAACTTTTCCTCACTCTTTCCCTTGAGGAGATATAGAACTGGGGCCAGATACCGCTTTATATGTGACTCTCAAGGTTCCTGAGACTATCAAGATACTTGGTCTTAATGTTTTTATAAAGCCCTGTTTATATTTTTATATAGCCCTCTTTAATTTCTGATTGGTATCCAGCTTCTCAGAATCACCATTGCAGGAATTTATTATTATATCTTTTGAATGGAATGGAACGAAAAATTATCAGACAACATTGTTTGGGGTAACAGTAAAAAAATATTACTTGGGCTGTACCTAAGAGAAACAAATGAAAATAAAAGTTTGATAGTACTTTTCCCTTTTGCCACCACTTTATTGGTTTCTCCGTGTTTTAAACTCTGTCTTATTCTGTGTTACAGGGGCCATTTTTGGAGCTCTCCAGGACATTCTTGGCAGTCGTTCAGTATCGAAGGAATATTACAATCAAACAGGACGCATCCCTGATTGGTGCTGCCTAAATAACCCTCCTTTGGAAATGATGTTTGATGTAGGAAAAACACCTCCACCATTGATGAAGAGGGCTTTTTCCACAGAGAAATAACAGTTCTGTTCTTGCTATGGCGCTGCCTTCTTTTCTCATCTACCTGAAGTTGGACAGTTAAGGAGTTCAGTGGAATATGTTGGATAAATCTGCAAGCTAAATTCTGGGGCACTGGCCACAATTTTGGCTGATTACGTTCCTTTCTGTCCGTTACATTGGCTTAAGATGATGCCCCAGTGATGTTTATTTATATACACAAGTAATATAAATGCTCAAGCTTTTAATGTTATTTAAAGTATATACTGTAGATACCTTTTTTAAAGTTCACTTGCTTAGCATCTGATGCTGCACATATTAGTTCTTCCACCAACTGTAATGCTGTGTTTAATTTTAAATTTGTTGCCTGTTAAAAATATGTTTAAAATGTCCACAACAGTTTGAGGGTTTTCTTGAAAATTTAGTAAACAATCCTGGCCCTTGCTTTGGTTAAGATAAGGAATGGCAGTAGATGCCTTCTTGATAATTGTCAACACCAAGTATAAATTAGAACTTGTAGTTCACGACATTAGGAGAGCCACAATTCCTAGTATCCCTCGCTATTGGCTGGGGCTTCTGGGAATAAATGTTCACTGACATCTGGAGGTGGGCTTGTTTCCTGTTCCTGAAAAAAGAGGATGCGACACTTTATGAAAAGCCAATTATAATATAATCTACTTATAATGGAGTCAGAGTGCTTAAAGTTGATTCACATGTTAAAAACATTTATTTAACCAATCAGTACAAATTGTCTACTCTGTTGCTTTTATTTTAATTTCAGCTGATTTAATTTATTTTACTTAAAACATTCCTTCCGTCTCTTCAACTCAGAAATCTTTCACAGCATCTTGCATATGCAAACATTTAGGAAAATCATTTTCAGAAATTTCCTCCTCCTTTTTATCCTACATGGAACTAGATCCATCTGTGGCTTTGGTTATGTTGATTTTCCTATGAAAGCGAGTCACCTAATACATTTCATTACGATATTCTCATGTAGAAATGATATTAAAATCTCCCAAAACAATGTGTCTCCAAAATACGGTTGTATCTCTGCTTTTACTGTAGAGTTCTAGGCCTACAGAATTGTTTTTCTTATTACTTCACCCTGGTTCTTCTATAAAGATTTTTTTGTTTTGTTTTTGGGTGGGGTCAAGCTGAATAAAATTTGTTTCATTATTCTGTTTTAAGCAACATCTTCTAGAATTTATTGTGGTTTTCCTAATCAACCTTAGATGTTACAGATTCTACTTCTTGTTGGGGTAAACTTGGAAGATGGCATTAGAAATTCTATAAGGTCCACCACTGGGGTACATATCAGATTCACTTTACCAAATGTTAAGCTTTCCCTATTTTTTTTTCTAAACATGTTATTAATTTTCTAATTTTACAATTATAAATACTTAATAAACATATTGTCTGAGTCCATTGGTAATTCAGTGGTACATATTAACTTTCTCAGTCTAGTTCCAATACTACCCCATCCAGTGCTTCCTTGATCCTCTGTTGTTCCAGTGGTATGCATTTTTCCACACTGGGCAAATACAATTCTTGTTACTGTTAATACATATACAGTTAAATATAGACATCTTCATCACATCTGGTATTATACATAATATTGATAGTGTCAGTTTATAATATCTTTTCTAGCCAAAACATATTTCAATTGCATTTGCACTTAAAATCCATTTGTTCAATCAATATCCTGTTTTCCCCGCTTTTTTTAAAAAAAGTTTTAATTTCCCATCAATATTCAAAATATATCACTTATAATTTTCTCATAATATATTATATTGGGGTAACCAAAAGCTTTCCTTATTCAAACCCTTTTAGAATTTTCATATTTCCCATCTTATAACAAAATATAATATTCTAGTTAGAAATCCTATCCTTCTAATTATAATAATACTTTTATTTTTAACAGTTATCTATTTTCTTAACCATATTCAAACATCTGTTTAATAATATAATGTCCCATCTCTTTTCTCATAGTAAATTATATTTTGGTAACCAAAAGTTTCCCTTATTCAGACTCTCTTGGCATTTTCATATTTCCCTTCTCATACCAAAATATAGTATTCTAGTTGCATAATATAGTTGCATATCCTATCTTTCTAGTTATAGTAATACTTTTATTTCTAACAATTATCTATTCTCTTAGCCATGTTCAAACATCTATTTAATAATATAATGTCCCATCTAATGGGTCAAAACCTCTATTTTCTTCAGTCTTACTCTGGCTTTCTTCCTTTGTCAACTAACTTTCCAAGTCAATGCATTTGAGTCTTTCCCCTGTTTTTGTGTATATTGTTTGAAGTAAGAAAGACAATTTGATTAAAGTATTTTTGGAAGAACACTCAGCCCATTTATATTCATTAATCAGCCTCCCTCCTCCAATTTTCCACAGTTCTCCTCACAGTTCTATCTTCCGTTCAATCAGCTTTTCTTTCTTATCCTCAAATGTATTCTGAAATCTTGACAAGTAAGATATCTTTTTCATTTCTGGTATTATCGCTGCATTTTCTAATTCTTCATTTGTCTGAGTCTGACTTAGGTCCTCTGTCTTTGGATCTGCTTCCTCTAATTTCCCTTCTATTTTCTGGGTTACTGGTTCCTTCTTTGTAGTCATTTTCTGAATTTGTAAGTTTAGATTAGAAAGTTGTTCTTTTATCTCCTTTGCATTATTTTTAATCTCATCATGAGCTAAGACAATTGTCTCTTGTATTGATTTCAACATAGAAAGAATTTCTTTCTGAGATTCATCAACATTTTTTTGTTGGTATGTGAAGCTGGGGTTTTGGAGACAAATGTTAGAGATGTTTTTTTACCATTTAAGACCAAGTGCAGAACATCCATTTTGTTTTTATATGTGGCCTTAATAGTCCAATCTATTTTGAGATTTAAAAAGTTTCAGTCAATTGTCATTTGAACTCCAAATTATCCAGCCAGCCTGTCAGTACGTCCTTAGGCCTCCCCTAAACAATTATAAACAAAGTCCAGGTTTTTCTGTCCAATGAAAAACATATCCTTTCTGTCCAGTGAGAAAAGAAACAAGTAAAATTTATTCATCAATCAAAAGTTTATAATCCAAAGTGTTCCATCATCTTGATCAGTCATGCCTGTTTCTTCTACAGAGGAATAGTTCCATGACACAGCTCTAAAATTCAATTAATATTTATATTCATAATCCAAGCAGGCCAATTTCAAATAGTTTATCGTCTCTGCCATGCAGATAAGCAGCCCAAGAATTGGGTTTTTTTCCCCCTTCTCCAGCTGTAGTCTTCAAAAGCGAAAGTTTCCAAGGACACCCAAAGTCTTATCTGAGTCTCGGCTTCAGGCCAAATTTCCTTTAAACATAATAAAGTGTAGTGCCATGGTTCACCACTAGATGTCGTTAACGCCTTCCAGCTTCAAACTTATATTGCAAGCTTTTCAATTCTCTTTTCTCAAAAAAGTTTCAAAAGCACTTTTAGTCCCCAAATTTCAAGGCTATATATCTATATTGATTCCAAATTAATGTTATAATTTTCTCCGTTTTCCCCCAAGTAGTTACTTAGCCACTTTTTTTTTCCTGAGGGAATGGGCCGGAAATTCCCTTTCCCTCTCTCATCTGGGAGGATTCTTTGCTTTGGGCGTTTTTTTCCAGGAAAAAGTCTTAACGTTATAAAGAGAGGATAGAGTCTCACCCAGTTTCATCCACGTTGCTCAAAAGTTGCTCATTAGTGCTTATTTCCTTCGGTTGTCAGCAGTTACGCTTTCCCTATTGATACACAGCAGCCAAATACTGTTTTCTGTAATAGGAATAGACAATATTTGGGGCTGCCATGTGTGGAACTAAGTTGGAAAACAAAGACTCATGTACTCATTTGTGGTAACCTGCACGCACAAGGCACACCCAGCCATGCACGTTGACAATGTTGCTCCCTCTCCCAGTAATCCTAATGCAGATGGAGGTACAACCCCATTCCCCACTTGACTTACTTAGCAATAGCACTTAGACTTATGTACCACTTCATAGTGCTTTACAGCCCTCTCTGAGCAATTTACAGAGTCAGCATATTGGCCCCCAACAATTTTGGTCCTCATTTTACTGACCTCGGAAGGATGGAAGGCTGAGTCAACCTTGAGCCGGTGAGAATCGAACTACCAAACTGCAGTCAGCAGAAGTAGCCTGCAGTACTGCATTCTAACCACCACACCAACATTTATTGCCTGTCATATTTTGGCAAGACGCAGTAACCACGAAATCCTATCATTTCAAAAGCCATTCAGTGTCATAGAGTGACTGAAAGCAGAGTAGTCTGATAGCATTATGCCATGGTTTGTTAAATAAACCACAATTGGTTATGTTCATAATACTAAAACTGCCTAATCCCAGTAAAAAATGCATTTGGTGTAAGGCTCCTAAACCTTTTGCAGTCACAGCTTCATTTAGCATCACTTTAATGTACAGAATTTCCCTAAAAATCCAAACATGTATGTATGTATGTATGCATTCATGTATCATTTAGCACATTTGCATCACATTCAATAAACACAAAAATACAAAATATGAAATATAAAATGTGAAATTATAAATGTATGTCTAGATTACAGATATAATTTTTACTTCATTTATGACAGCCAGGAAATCAGCAAAGTCTTCATTAAAAGCTCTGTTTTGTCACTGTCACTATATGTTGCATTATTTGTTTTTCAGCCTCGCAATTCACAATTTGCCACAATTCGGTGATGGTGTTTTGCCCCACTTATAGAGGGTGCTTGCACGTTTACCATGGCCAGTGCGAATTTGGTTCAGTATTGTCCGTATCCAAACACCAAATTAACACAAATTAACAATGAAAATACAATGAAACTTTGGGAAAGGTAGATTTATTGTAACAATGTAGCTAAAAGGTTCTTCACATCTTCCTAGAGTTTGTCAGTACCTCCTGAAGGTGTCTTCCTGGAAACCCTGGTTTAAGGTGTTCCCAACAGGTTCTACATGATCCAAATCACACTTTGAACATGGATCACTTCTCGGGGCTTGTGTTTTCATAAGCATTGACCCACAGGTATAAATAATAATAAAATTGGAAGGGAGGTCATCTATTGTCCAACCCCTTGCTCAGGCAGGAAACCCTATATTATTTCAGACAAATGGCTGTCCGGTCTCTTCTTAAAAACTTCCAGTGTTGGAGCATTGACAGCTTCTGGAGGCATGTTGTTTCACTGATTAATTGTTCTAACTGTCAGGAAGTTTCTCCTTAGTTCTAGGTTGCTTCTCTCTTCGGTTAATTTCCATCCATTGCTTCATGTCTTGCCTTCAGATGCTTTGGAGAATAGCTTGACTCCCTCTTCTCTGTGGCAACCCCTGAGATATTGGAACACTGCTATCATGTCACCCCTCGTCCTTCTCTTCATTAAACTAGACATACCCAATTCCAGCAACCGTTCCTTATATGTTTTAGCCTTCAGTCCCGATCATAGGTTGCCAACTATAATTTAGTTCAATGTGTTGTGTAGTTAGTCTAAGGAACATTGGGTCATACATATCCAAATCCTGATTCAGTTAATTATAGTCAACCTGTTGGACAAATATATCCATTTTTTCTGGGAAAATCCTACAGAATTAATGTTTTGGTTCATTCAAAGCAAGACTCAGCAACTTGAGTCCTTAGGGTTGCATGGAGGCCTACAAATAACTCCTTTCTTGTAGCCCACAAGCCTCTATTGACCAGAGTTGCCAGAAATTGGAGTTAAGATTTTTGTGGTGGGAAAAAGAAAAAAAAATACTATCTACCCTACAGTATCATCTTAATTGTCAATAAAGCAAAGAAACAGCACTAAGTTCTTGGTATTACCTATTGTATAACGTAGACATTTACAACATAAAATGCCACTCTTGGCCATCAAAATATTGCCTACTTGCTTAAGGGATCCACAAGACTTACTGAAGTAGCACACAGGTGATTTTAATGCTCCAATTTTAATGAAAGAACACTTGATTCTCTTCTCAGATAAAGAGGTACGTACTTCATTCAGCTGCCTGGAGTTATTCAGACTTAAAGGTAGAAAGATAATGGCTGCAGTTGACTTTCTTTTAGAATAGCAATTTTTAACTTCTCTCTACTCTAAAAGGGTTTTAACTCAGTAACTGAACAATAAACAAAGCAGGATTGGATTTTTGTTAATTTACTCAGTACTATTAGAAGCCATCCATGGATGGGGAATTCTCATTGGAAAGCTACCTAGATGAGTGTTCAAGCCAGGTAAAGTCCAGGATGTTAGTTTAGGTTATTATAAGAATGGCTCTAGTGTATCTTTTTGTGCTTGTGTTTATGTGAATGGGGACTACATTTTAATGTATTTTGTTGTGCTAATCTTAAAATGTATATTATTAGTTTATTTTGTGAAGCCATAAAAAGCAATTGTGTATAAGTGTGTATGAACTTCAACCTTTCTCTAATGTCAGTTATTATTTGGAAAAAATTACATATTTTCCTATGGCTAGGAAATCCTAGAGTTATACATTAACTGTGAAGCTAAGCAGAGTGGGATTTGGTGAGGAATATTGCAAAATTCTAGGGCTGCAGGCTGGACTAGGAAGCTGTTCAGTTTGGCTAAAAGAAATCATCTTTGATTGGTAAAACTTTTTTGTTTCTTGCTTCCTGAAAGTACAAATATCCTGCTTCAATAAATTTAGCAAGTATCTATGTGACATTCTCAGCCTATTATATTGGCAGGCAGCCTGTAAGAAGGACAATGTGCCTGTTTTATCTTATTTATTCTACTACATTCAGCTTATATATATGTGTTCTAATGATAAGATAATTCTAGATAAGTGTTACCAAATGGCAAACTATGCATTGAGGGGCGGTGGATTCTCTGTTAAATTAACAACAGGCTAGAATAGATTATTTAAATTGGGGATTTGCTGAGTCATTAGCACTTCCCATTGTTCCACTTGGCACCATAGTTGCCTGAGACAATTCATGAGTTATAGCCAAACAAAAGTGGTGACTTCAAACCTCTAAGGGAACTTCCTAGCTGACCCCTTTCTTGAATAATAAGATTTTGAGGAAATTCTCTTCCTCAAAAGTAAATAAGTTTTATTTAATTAGAGCCAATTAAATTTACACAGTGCACTAGGCCATAAATTGCTTTGCCCAGGACTGTTTAAAAACTCAGAATTGATTTAGAGCACATAATCTGCTACACCATAGATAATGGTTTCCATATCACTGTAGATGGGGAGTTGTATTGATCTATGATGGTGAGAAATGAGAAGTTTGCTAGTGATTTTTCTAACACTTTTTATTAAAAGACATGAGATTTCATGAGCTGCTGTCCACTTGATCATGTAGAGAATGGCTAGTTCTATCTTTACTTCATCAGATGCATAACCAGATCCTATAACTGGTGAAATAAGCAGCAACTCACAAAATCTCATGCCTTTTAAAAAGTATTAGAAAAAGTACTATCAGTATTCTGATTTTTTTTAAATCACAACCTAGGGTTATCAATCCTACCTAATAAGGATAAACAAGAAGAAATTTCTCTGGCAGGACCCTCTAAGATTAACACTGATCTCTTCTGAATTCATGGAATAAATAATTAACTTGCTTTGCTCAGCCCATTTGCCTAGAAGTAAAAATTGGGAGATTCATGGAATTTGCTTCCAAATAAATGTATTAAGAATTATAATGTTGTAGAGAGATTATTCAAGGGAGAAAAACAGTATCTCTTAAAATTCAGGGTCTAGGAGCATCCTGGTTCATTTTAAAAACAATGCCTCTTCCATCCTGAAAAAAGGCATAAATCTGTTTATTAGTCTTATTAAAAATAAAAAATCATTTGCTATTGTACATATCGATAAAATTTCTCCATAAAACCTGAGGTTGTCAACTGAGCTTCTGCTTTGTGGTTTGCAAGCCTGACTTTAAGTTTTACTACTGTGTGTATGTGTGTGTTTAAAAAAACCTCTGCTTCTTCCATTTACCTCCTGTTTTTGTACAACAATCAAAGCCAAGTCATTAAATACCATGCATCAATGTAGTACATAAGGAAATTATGGTGTTACTAAGGGGCTGGTACTCTGTAGATATGGAGAACTTTGTGTAGTACTTTAGGAATCCATAAAATCAAAGTGCCTGAAATGTTTTCTGCCCTCTATCCTTGAAGGATGATCTTCCATCAAATAGCCCTCAAATGTATTCTCCCATGAGTCCCTTTGGGTCAGATTTGCCTATTTCTGCCATTCCGGGCACATTGTTTACTCCTCAGCCTGACCAAGGCAAAGACTTCCCTTCGGTAGATCTCAGCTTCTTGCCAGATGATTTTGGACAAGATGGCAACAACAACAACATGCTGGAAGAGTATCAAAGCCCCCAGCTGGGAATACAAGGCAGTGGAATCTTCTCGGAAGACAGTGGAGGGTCCCAACAGAGGGGTGAAAAGGCAATTCAGCCATTGCCTGATTTATCTGGGACGTGTCCCTCCATGGCCCCCATGACTCCTGTGACCCCTACTTCAGAAGTTTCTGGCATTATCCCACAGTTACAGTAAGTTTTACTCAAAAGCTGGTTGATTTGGTACATTGGCATTTGCCACATTTTAGTCAAGCATGTTAATGAAAACCCAATTAGTGGGAGTAGTTAATGATTTGGCAGAATATTCAGTCCCAGAATTTTGATTGAGTAAGCTATGAATAAGTCAAGCATATGGCATGAAAAAAGGGGCAAAGATGCAATTGTTAAGTTTCCTAGGCAACAGTACTGAAGTGACTTGCTATTAGCGTTTTCCAGAATGACTATGCTTCCCAGTTTAGTATACAGTTCTGATATTCCCTGGTAATCTCCTGTCCAAATATAAATATAGCCTCTATATTTAAATGCAATGTATTTCTATCGTATTATTGCATAACGTGAGAGTGATAGCTTTTTAGCATATAATCAAGACTAAATTCAAAGTGATTAGAAAATCCAAATATAAAGGATTACAGCTATATTAATAATTGGATGAGTAGATGGGAGTGGATTTTAAAACCTAATGTAAATCATAGAGAGACTTGCATTTCCATCCTCCCCCTCCCATCAGTTTGCAGTTCATTTTCAGTAAGAGTCACTTTAGATCAGTGGTTCTCAACCTTCCTAATGCCGCGACCCTTTAATACAGTTCCTCATGTTGTGGTGACCCCCAACCATAAAATTATTTTCGTTGCTACGTCATAACTGTAATTTTGCTACTGTTATGAATCGTAATGTAAATATCTGATATGCAGGATGTATTTTCATTGTTACAAATTGAACATAATTAAAGCATTATATGTAANCCCTGCACTCTTTCTAGAGTCTCAACATTTTTTTGGATTGTGGTGACCAAAACTGGATGCAATATTCCAAGTGTTGTCTTACAAGGCATTATAAATTGATATTAACACTTCACGTGATCTTGATTGTAATCCCTCTATTGATGCAGCCCAGGACTGCATTGGCTTTTTTGGCAGCACACTGCTGGCTCATACTTAAGTGATTGTCCACTCCGTGAATGTTCCCCCAACATAACAATTTCTGAGAAAGAAGAGCCGGTCTTAAATGTGGACAATATTGTACAATGGAAGGGAAAAACTAATTTGGCTAGTAGAAAATTACAGAAAAGGGATGGGTGATGGTAGGCAGGGCAAAATGGGATATAACCATGATTAAACTCTTCCCCAATTTCACCCAATCTATATGTGTACTTTTGGTTTTTCTTGCCTAAGTGTAAGACTTTATTTTTCTCTACATTGAATTTCATTTTGTTAAGATAGGGTCCAGTGTTCAAGTCTGTCAAGATCCACATGGATCCTGAGTCTACCATCTAGAGTGTTGGCTATTCCTGCTAGCTTAGTATCATCTGCAAATTTGATAAGTTCCCCTTCTATACCCTCATCTAAGTCATTTATGAAGATGTTGAAGAGTACTGGGTCTAGGACAGAATCTTGTGATACCCCACTGCTCACTTTCCTCCATGTAGACGTAGTTCCATTAAGGACTACTCGTTTTCTTTAACTACCGGTATAACATACAGTATAAATGAGCCACTCTTGGCTGGTTTCAAATGATATTTAACCTAAATTAAATTATGACTTAGGGTAATTTGTGATGCCAGACTCGCTGATACATGCTTAGAAAATCTTCTAAGTTTTTTGCCTAGTTCACTTTCAACTGAAAGTAGTAGATTATGGCCTGCTATCTATTAGCTCAGTGGCAGTATCTGACGAACCTTGTGCTGTAAACTAGATAGGGAAATGGGGAAAAAAATAATTCTGGAAGATGACATAGTCTCAAAGAGCCAGGTTTGACTAAAAGGAAGGAAATATTAGCATCAGAATCCACAAGACCTCTTCAAACGTAGCAAGTTGTTGGGTGTATCCATGCCATAGTTGTGCCACTGTTGTGAGGGCTCATTTGGGCTATTTTATTGGCTGAGTGAGGATATTTTGGTGGCCTACCAAAATAAGTTAAGCATTTGATAGATCTTTTTACTATGTTCTGAGGGTTAAAATATTGTAAAATTCTTTACCAATCAAAGAATGTAAACCCTGAGCCATTTCATAGCAGGTAGGAGGCATAGCCTCTCCCTCTTACTAAAATAGTAAAATGGGCCAGAAGCTATGGCAAATAAATGTGCAAAGAAGAAGAGATGAACTCCAGTAGAGAGAACAGAAGGAGATGATGCTATGGAGTTCTTGGTGCTATTTGAGCTTGATTTTTTGGGCTTGCAGGGGTTTCATTACCCAACCAAGTAATGTTGATTGCTGAAGGGGATGTATTCTAGTCTTTTTGTTTCCTAGGGAACCACATTTCCTTCATCAGCCAACACTCAGATAAGCAGGCATCAATACTAGACAGGCAGAAAACAAGGTACCCCAGCAAAACTAGCAGGGCAAGCTATAATATATAAACAGGCAGCAAACCCTACACTGACTCGCACTGAAGATGTTACCTAATTGGGTAGGAGGGGGCTGGGGGTTGCTAAATTGGAAAACCTCTAAAAAGTATTGTTAGTAGGACACATCCACAAAGCCAATATGACAATCTGCATCTACTTAGAGGCACAGAACAAAACTACGCACTTGAATTTGAGAACAATTGTGCTCATTTCTTGTTTTGAGAAAACCCACTTTAAAAAATGAGAACAAGATTCAGAATTCTGTAATGGATATATTGGGTAAAAGGTTTTTTTTTATTTGATTACTCTCATAGGCTGAGGGCATCAAATTATTGCTGCTAAGTTCTCTGAATCTGATGGAAACCAATCATCTTCAAATGACAACGGGACTTTTTATAAGTTAAGATATGAAAATTTATTAAGCAGCTTTGTGTGCAAAAATTGCCAACTATAAAACCATACAATATTTTTGAGACATAATAACACAGCATCATCATATTCAACATATGATAAAAAAACAGTTTTCCAGAATTGGATGGCCAATTCTTATAATACAAGGTAACAGACGTACATAAAACAAGTGTCTTTTATAGTAAACTATCTTTTGAGTGTTTCAAACTACCCATGTTTCTAATGTCTACTTTTTTTTAATCCAAACAATCCTGGGCAGTTTCTCCACTGTCTATGTCTTACCCTCCTCTTCAAGCAAGACAGCAAATGTCTTATCAAATATTTCAGCCTCTTAATATTTTCATAGCATGGTTCAGCTGCAAATCCTTCATCTTTAAGGCTGTTTCTCCATGTTTTTAGTTGTTTTGATGTACCCTTGGTAATTGCAGGGTGGAGAGAAGAGAGATTGCTCACCAGCTGGAGTAAATAATGAAGGTGTCCACACTCCTTCCCTTCTGATAAACATGACTCAGTATCATGAAAGAAGCACTTCTCAGTTGAGCCATCCAGAATCCTGTATAATTACGAAGTAAGAGGAAAAAAAGATGGAGGGGAAGAATAAGATGGGAACGACTCAATAGTCCCTCCTTGTGAAGTGGGGGCAAGGGGTGCAAGTGGGCCTGTTGATAATATACCTGGCCCCCTGCTATGTGTCAACGGCCCTGCCTGAGCTAGCTGACGTGATAGCCGGGGTGGCGGTTGAGACCCCCAGACTTATAGTCATGGGGGATCTCAACCTGCCGTCGGCGGGCGAAACGTCAGCGGTGGCTCGGGAGTTCTTGGCCTCCATGACGACCATGGACTTGACCCAATTAGTTCATGCACCCACTCACACGGGAGGACATACACTGGATCTAATTTTTGTCTCTGGCC